TCGTTTCTCATTCGCGCGCGCGTAGAGTACATCGCGATTTAGCGCGCTGCCGGGAGGGGATGTAATAAATACGGCAAGTATGCGCGCGAAGACACACGGGCGGCCGGCGCGACATGTATTTATCGCCGCAAGAATATCGATCGCGCGAGTATATCCCGCGCGGACACAGATGAGCGTTATCATCGCCGACGTTAACGTCGGCGACGCCTCGTCCGGGGATTTTCCCCATAGGGGAGGAACTGCGTTTTCGTTTTAATCGAAATGCGATGCACGCATTCGTGTAATTTCGTAATCACCTCGCGCGCAACAGAGCAACGCGGCCGGTGTGGGGTCGGATGGGAAAAACGGGCCGGGTTGAATTGAAAAACACGGCTACCCCGTTTCAATCTGACAGATAAAAAAAAAAAACTGGCGGGCGTGTAAAGTTTTCGCTGTCGCGAGAATGATGCGATAAACGATCGCATGCGTTGCCGGCACGCCCGCCGTTGGTAACACCAGCGTTAACGCGTTTAAACGTTTTTTAACGATAATCTGCATAACGCACGACGAGCGCGCGCCGGTACGCGCATCGGACGTGAAAGCTCAAAAGCTCGCCAAGGGGAGAGGTGGACGTGGTAACACGCGCGCTGTGTAAAGCGCCGGGTATAATTACCACGAATTGATTGCCGCGCGGGAATAACCCGGGCCGTTTATAAATTCAATGCGAATATTCATCGCGCGTTTATCATCACGAACGGGAGATTGCAGCCGCCAATTAGTTGGATGCGCGAACTTCTGGTATTATAGTTCTTTGTATACGCGACTGCGGAGTGACCGGAGTCGCGACGCGACTCGCCGACCGGTGATTGAAACGCAGCTCTTCGCTCCCAAGTTAAATTCTCGATGTCGCGAAAGAGCTCTTGTTGCTTCAATTGTTCTGTTCTCCGTTGGCCGCAATTATAAACATGAGCGTGTGATTAAATAGCCCCTCCGCGATAAAATAACATTTATTATAAAATAACACTTTGATATTAAATACATTTATTTTATTTTGAAATATATATGCGTGACACAAAGTACATCCATTTCTAAATACGTCGATGTTAAATACTTTTCTTACTTTCTTCTTAACAAACGTGAATCGAATATTAAATTGCGATTTTTGATCATTTTTATAAAATATAATTTCTTTACTTTATGACGGTAATAATAGAGAATATATAATACAAGAATGTCACTTTCTAACGTAATCTTTTTACTTTTTGTCATAGTCCATTATATACACAAGTCACTTTACGCTTCTAGAAAAAGACCTCGTTATCTAATAAATCATTTATATCGCTTGTATGTACCATCCTTCAAATTGTTGAAATTCTTTAGACATTGTTCTCTGAAAAATATCACATTATATAATGTGTTTTACATTCTTTGTCCAAATTTGTTAAAAATTTTTCTTATACAAGAACAGTATTCCATTTCAAAAAAATAAAATTTAATAAAAATTATAATGTAAAGAGGTCGTAACTTGACGGAAGTATCATCCAATCCACGATAACATTTTGCATACCGCCTGCCGATAGTATAAATGAAGTGCTGATATGATATGATAGTTATCGACTGAAGGTAAAACAAAATAATTGAAGTTAAAGATTTTCATATAAATAACAAAAATATTATATATCATAATTATTTAGAATAAAATCTAAAAAAAATATATATATAAGAATAATAGAATTTGTAAATAAATAAATAATGAAGAAAAGCAGAAAAAATTAGTTTCTTAATATCATGGCAGATGGCACTGTAGACTTTTTCTACAATCGAATATACGGTCGCGAGAGAAATAATCAGAAATAATGTTAGACAAGAACTGATAAAACGAAAATTCCACGTGTAAAAGATGCAGACAACACGAACAGACTACGATTACTCGTTCCACGTATAATTCTTGAATCTGGTTCCTTTACTTTTTCTAGATTCCACCATAGACAATGAGACACGTTAAAAATAAAGTTAAAAATAAAAAATAAAACGATTTTTTTTTTATCAGAGAGCGCCTCACGCTAAAAGCCTCTATCATTTTCAAATTTGCTCGTCCAACTCCGAGCCCTAGCCCTCTCTCCCGACAACCCTCTTCAAAGGTAAAAGCGAGGGGGTCAATTACGCGAAAAGCGTAATAATGCATCGATGCATGATCGAACAAAGTGGAGCCTGACACAAAATGCGGCGCACAACCACGCGGTGGCACTCCGATAACACGCTCGAATAATAAGGATAGCGCCCGCAGAGGATACAGGGTTGGATACGCACGCGTGAGCCCGCGTTCGGGGTCCGTCTTCCGTTTCCAGTCCGGTCACTATGACGCGCGATGTGGAACCGAGTCGAGAATATCGTAGAATATGTGGCGATTCTGTTGTATATCGCATTAAAAAATTTATCATAGGTGCACGGCACCTGTAGCCCCGCGATTGCCGATTCAACTACTTATTACAAATTTGACTCGTATACTCTTTTATATTGATACGATATTTAACCCTGCCCCTTCATATACATTTTTTTTACGACAGACTGAACTCATTGACTACTATCGTGACCATACAGTAATCAGGGAACGTCAGTTACGTCTATTAAATAAATAACATCACACGTGATTTTAATTTGCTTTTATCCCTACTATTATTATTACGATATATTATTTCGCACTCGCATTCAGGCTATAGCAATTAGACTTGTATAAAAACAACGTATAATTCAATAATTATACATATTAAACGTCAACAAAAGTGTAACTGTTAATTTTCAACTCGAGAAATTTTATAGCTCTCTTCTCATCTCTCTCGTGACGAATACGCGATTATTTCTAAGAGCGAGAAAAACATACATGGTCTTTAAACAAATTAACTCGAACTTAACTGCCTGGTTTTTTTTTACGTAACAGTTTTACTTTTATGTCAGTCTTATGAGTGCATAAATTTATTACTAAACGAGAAAAAAAAAAAATTCTTAACGGCTTAATTTCACATTAACTCGCATCGTTCCGCATCCTGAACGCTCACTCTATTTACCGCGCGCGTACTTTCTTTCCGCGCCGCGTACTCCGTCGCGTCGCGCTACTTCTCGGACATGAGCCCCTTTCGCGAGAAGATTCCAATTCCTTCTTTCAGCGCGGCAATCGACGATCCACGGGATATTTGCGGCCAAGATTTTTAATACGACCGCATTGTCTCCGCAACTTTCTCTCGTTGCGTATAAACTTGCATCGCCGCGCCGGTGCCACATGGTACCACAATAGCGCAGGTATTGTAATTGTATCTCCCATGGATCTTTACGCGGTAAAAGGCATTTTGTAATTCTGTTAAACGGATTCTTGTTAAAATTTTTGTGTGTTGAACTTTTAACGTGTCCAAGTGTTAATTTAACGTAATATGTGATTATGTTATTTAAATATTTTGTATTATATTAATAACACATTAACATTTTTAGTGACAAAATAATGCAATTTATACACAGAAAAGATTGTTTTGCTAAAGTATCGAAAAATTTAGCATACAGATCTTAATTTTATTGGATCATCGATAATTACGTATGAATCTCAAATAGATGATACAAAATGTTGATATTCTAGTAACTAATTTTAGCATTCTTTAATAAATAATTATTGTATTTTGATGTGGTACCAACAATGGATCCAACAAAATTATTTTCAGATCTGTATCTGGTTACATTTTCAGAGAATTCAATAAAATTGTTCTGTTGTGTAAATATAGGTAAATCAAATAACATTAAAAATAATATAGTTTTAAAACGTAAATTCTAAGCTAAATATAATATATTCGAAGCTAATATAAATAAAAGATGAATGTACGTATTAATTTAACATAAAAATATTAATTTTACTAAAGAAATATGCTTCCATAATTTTTACTTTTCGTGTTAATTTTTTTACATAAATTTGTGTTACTTTTTACATACATATTCATCTTGTGTTAAATTAATACAAAAATTTATGAAACGTACTGTTTGTGATACGTAAAATGTATTAAATTCAACATGAATTTTTCAACTATATACGACAATACAAAATTTATCTCTAGTTATCACTTATGTCAATTGTTATATCTATCAAGAAAAAAATTACTCAATTTCCTATCGGAAGACAAATAGTGTCTCGATATAAGTTTACTTTATAAGAAATATTCTATATGTTCCTAAAAACTCTAGTATTTTGCAAACCATCTTTCGATATTTTATTTGATAAGCAAAAGTTAAATTACATTATTTAAAGTAACAATAATATCTCTAAAAACGATCGATAGAGGACATTAAATAATAACAGGCAAACTGCAGAGGAAAAGGACTCGAGTGGGTGGAATAGTTTGTCGAGCCGACCAACGAGAGCGCTGCGTCGGTTTGCGTGGAGAGATACGACCCTTCGAACTCGAAGGCGGCTCATTCGGTCGGTGTTTACTGCCACTGAATAGATCGTGCGCGCTTTTACGTGGCTATGATCGTCAATTACTTCAGTGACGAGAACTCTGGTGGCTTTTGTCAAAGCGAAGACGACCGAGGATCAATCGTCAAGTGATGTCGAGCGACGCAGTGAGAACCGGTGGCAGTGAAATTCTAATTTATTAAAAAAAAACAAAAAACAAAAAAGTAATTTTTCAATTTATTAAATAAAAAACGTTAAAAAATAATTTTATAAAAGATCCGTGTTCCTCCGTTAACATCGTTTTCGCCGCGAGCCGAGGCGATAGATTCTAGTGAAAGCCCGAGATCATTTCGAGATCGCCCCGCGGACTTTCGCGCTGTTAGGCGCGGTAATAAAATGCGAACCTCAGGCGTGCTCGCGCCGCTTCAACGGATTTCCGAACGGGAGACTCGCGAGTGAACGTTCCGTGATTACGAGTGATTTGCCCCGATCGATCGTCGATGGCGAAATCCGCGGCAGAGAATGGGGCGTTTATCTACGAGCGCGATCTATGACTTGGCGAACGTATAAGCGCGGGTGTGTGCTACGGAATCTGTATCGCGAATTGTGTTTGATCTTCGACCGCGTGCACGTGTTTCTTCACGTGTCGCCGCTCCGATTATTTTCTGCGAAGGACACAAGTCGAAAGAATCTATCCAGCCGTAAGAGAGTCCTGCACGGGGGAATTATTCTGTCCACAAAATCCCTCGACAAAGATTTCGAACGTATATAATCCCCACAAGTATTCGACCCGCGTCGATTTTAAATGCCGCGATTTGTAAGCCATCAGATTATCAATCTGTTCACGCGGTAAATCCCCAAGCGTTCTCCAAATCCCGCATCTTTCGATTCGCACCCACCCCTCGGGCGAATCTTTTTTCCCCGACAGTCGCTGAAGATGCCTTGATCGAGCCGATCGCAAAAGTTTTTCTGGTCCCGCAAAGATGACGTCCGACCGCTCGATCTGTTTGCCGGTGCTCTTTCTCGTTTGCGTTTGGCGCACCTTTGTTTTCGGCGAGCAACAATTTCTGGAGAAACCGCAACCCTACCAAGAGGTATCGTCCGGCGATGACGTGAAGTTACGTTGCATAGTACAAAACAAGGGTGGCCAGTGCATCTGGCAGAAGGACCGAAGACCGGTAGGCATACAGCCAGACAAGTACGAGTGGGCGAACAACCGCGGCAGCGGCGACTGCACCCTCGTGATAAGACGTGCCAATTTATATTTCGACGACGGCTTGTGGGAGTGCCAGGTTACTTCCAGCGACTTTACCCGCCAAGACGCGCTCTCATCCGAGCAATCGAGACTGCTCGTAAAGGGTGAGAATCTGATTCGATTCTTCCGTCAACTTTCAGCGCGGCGTTATACTTTTAGGATTATCGAGTATATATCTTTCATTCTAGTAAATAAGAGAGAAACGAATATATCATTTTTCTTTAATAATAAAGTTTGAGTTTAACGAAGCTCCATTGAAAAAAAGATTTACCAAATCTTAATACATGTTCTTTTGAATAATACTGAATAAACATTTGCTTATAATAAATAAATAATTACTCAATAAAAATTACAGTTAAATCGAATTAATGTTTTTTTGTATCAAGTAAATATATGTTTACGTTTAATAAGTACTTAGAACTGTTTAAACAAAGATTTATTAAAATTTAGTATTTTGCAGTGTGTTATTCAAATATTGTATAACAATTTACATATAAAATAATTACTTACATAATCTATAGTTGCATAGAATATTTAGAGATGAATAAAAAGACAATGCAAATAAAATTATCATTAAAATGTTAGCACCTTCATTATTCGTTACTTTTATACTTTAATATTATTTATGCAATATATTGACATGTCCAGTGCAATATTTTAAATGCAGCCTTGACTATAAATAAAATATTCTGAAATTGTTATTCGTTTGGAAAAAAACGGCAATAAGAGCTAAAAAAGAACTAATAAAATATTAAAATGATTATTAAAGTAGATATTATTTTCCAATGAAGCTGCTTTTGATTTATTTTTCGTCAAATATAAAACGTTTACGCTAATTTGTGAGGATGCTTTGTACTTATGACCAAGGCTGTATTTCGTTGGAGCGCGTTGAGTCGTTTGGAAGAATCGTTAATATTTCGCGAACATTGACCTCGAGTGATGCAAGGAAACACACAAAGCAGCCGTTATGCTCTACTTTCCTGTAATTTTGCAATATCCGTGTTAATGGAAATTTGGTCGAGAGTGGCACAATCGGTTCCTTTTAGCTATTCCCTGTAAGAGCACGTAATGATAAGATCACGGTCATAACTATATATTCGTGAAAGGAAGCAGGGGGAGCCAAACATAACTGTTTCTGTCTCATTCTGTCTTATCTAAAATGCACCCTAATGCGTGTTCCAGTAAAACCTAGAGAACCTCAACTGGAATACGGGGGGACCTTTTTGGGCGCCACCCTAACACTGCAGGAGGGACAGGAAGTAATGATTTCCTGCGTTTCGAAATACGGAAACCCACCCGCCGTCATCAAGTGGTAAGCTTGACACTTTGTCCTTACATTTGAACGATATATGTATTGTGTAATAAAATTATGCTAATAACATGAAAGGAAAATATAGAAGACAACCGAGATAATTTAAAAATTGAAAAAGAATGTTGAAAAATCGAAAAACAGCGTACGTGCGGTGAACATTTTATCGAAATTTCCGATATCAATTTAACACAACACGCCATATAGATAAAAAAAAAGCATTTATTTTATCTCTTTCTATATTTACTTCGAAAATAAGAAAAAAATTGTAGGTGTGATAATTTCTCACTAAGAAGTGTTCTAATATGACGCCGATAAAAAGGAATGATAGGAAAAAACGTTGAAAGGTTTAGTATTTATATCAGATAATTATGGATGGATCCATTTGTCTCAGACGACCTTTTACCTGAGATAGGGCGATTAGAAGTTAAACATTCTTTTTTTTTACTTTTGGGCACAATCGGATGACTATCGGAATGCTGACCTTATACCTGCCGATCTTGATGGGATGAAATCTTGGTAACGGTCTGTTAAAAAAATATCAAATAATTTATTCCTTTTTACGAATAAATTCTTAAGTAAACACAGGGAGGAAAAAGATAAAATCATCCTTTTAAAATAAACATTTTCTTTAAATGTGAACTATTCTGTATTATTTTAAACCCTAATCCCAGCAGGCTTACAATTCACGTTCTCCGGAATAATAATATTTGAAAATTCTCGGAGAGATACAAAATGCGTTTATCTTTCCCAGCAATTATGCATCGACAACAAAATTTTTTCATAAATCTCATTCTCTTATATTCTTGGAGATACCTATACATACATTATACATTTTACTTGCCAGTATCAGACATCAGGGCATCGGTTTTAAAGCAATTCTCGATTGTTCACTGATAGGATATAACAATACACGTACGGTTCTTTTGTGACTGAACTGATCCCTAGAAGGTCCAAGATAACACTTTCAAATTGCGTTCGACGACGCGGCGACGACGCCTCGCCACGTCTCGGCAGGCTAAGTAGCGCGCTTTATGCACATTCCTCTACGTTACATGCCTGCACTTGTTTTCTTACCTCTCAGAAAATACGGCCGTTTTCAAACATCACGGTGGAGCATCGCGACGGTTCGCCGTTGATCCGAGAGAGCCGGTCTGGCGCAAGAAGCCGTGACGTTATGTTTATATGCAGGGAAGGGCCACGCGGAGGGATCGTCGTTTTGGTTTACGGTCCGCTGAATTTAGCCGCGCCTTATCTACGTTCTTATACGATGTAAAACATCTGTTCCTCAGGATGGCACGCGCTTCTTTTGGAAGCTTATACCCCCGATCGTTCCCAGCGTGAGAGAGCGAGAGGCAAGAAACCAGCGGGTGTAATTTAAGCCCTGAACGGTGGCATATGTAGCTCCTTCATAAGGGGGACCCATTGATGAATGGGTCTTTTGAGAAAAGCTAAGTTTCCGATGCGAGAGGGCTCGGCCGTTACCCCGTCTCGCTGTGTGTAACTTCTGTGTGAGACACATGTAAATAACGTTTGAAAGCCGTTCTAATCTCTCATAAGCCTTTCCTTTGTACGTCTCTTTTGTGTCGCGGATGGGTCCGACTGTAATTTAGCTTCTTTATTTTACTGCGTCAGAGTTACGGCCTCTTACTTTTGCACATTTTATGTATGTGGAAAAGACACACGGCGACGATCGAATTGTACTTCGGGAGAACAACTCGTAACATTTACGTTCCCACGCATTTATTTTACGGTACTAATGAAGAATTTCGGCCCGATGGGACTCGTCTGAAACAATATCGGCCGTGCATTCTTTTACGACCGATAATAGCCACGCGGTTTAATGATCCCTGCCCGGTTTTCTTTTTCTTCGCGTTGCGGACACGGCCATGCCGAGTATAATTATGTAGATTATAGCCATAGAAACCGAGAAACTGGCCGCAAGCGTAGCCCCGCCGGCCACCACTGCCGCGCCTGTGAATCACACTAGAAAAGGGTACGGACCTTCTCGGCGGCACTGTTTTTTTTTTTTTTTTTTTTTACGGGAAGAAGGCCGGCCCATTTAACGGAAACTGATGGATTTATGTGAACCACTCGCGGAAACAATCCTGCATATGGAACCACATTGTCCTGGGTTAATCATAAGCATTCAGCTTCCGTTTACGCGTCTTCATATTGAATTTGATATACGAAATGGAAACAAAATATTGTTCTCTAAATGCATTAACAAACAAAATTGAAAAAGATATTTTTCAAATAAAAGTTTCTCACAATTTAAAAAAAATTTTTTTTTAAAATACAATGTATATGTAACAATTTTTTTATATATTATACTGTCAACATTTTTTTTAGAAAGCAATACTTTTTTTAGTTATTCTTATATCTGTAATGAAGTATTAAAATTAATTAAAATTTTCCGTATTTTTTATTTTGATCTATTTTGACATAAAATATGAAATATTTCGTAAAACATTTATTTATTAAGAAAATTGAATTATATAAAAACATGATTTTATTCAAAAAATATAAATTTGATTAATATATCTCATTAAAAATGCTATAAAAAATTATTTCAGTTTTAAAAAGGGATTGAACATTTTTTTTTACTGATTTTTAATTGGATTTAAATCAATTTTTTTAAGCAAAAGGAATTATTATTCGTGTCTCCACATTATAAGAAAATTATAGCACTATTTTTAGAACTAATCTTTAAATTATAGTTTGTTGCTTAAAATTAAATGAGGTGTTAAGCTGTCTGATACTTAATAATTTGCGCTCACAAATTTACCTGACAGGTTCATAGGGAACAAGGAGGAGAAATCTTACACGTCGCAAAGCAACGCAACGGAGGTGGATAATCCGAAAACCTGGGCAGCTCATAGTATTCTACGGGTGCGTGGTCGGAGGGAAAATCACGGTCTGCCGATCCGATGTGTGGCCATGCATCCGACGAGCTTAACACCGATGAGCACAGAGACGCGACTGGATGTTCATTGTACGTGAAATCAATCTGTATAGAGCTAACCAAAAATTATAAATATTTATCAGTATCCTTAATATTGATAAATCTATTTTTGCATACCGTTTTATTTAACATATTTAGAAGAAATAGATTTCATTATTTAGAATTATTATTACTATTATTATTATATACTATACTATATATTATTAGACTTTATATAAATATATACATATATCTTTACATCAATACTTTTTTATATATAAATGCTTAAATAATTTTCACTCCTAATGAGTAAAATGACCCAAGAACAAGCGGTTCGTTTCTGCTTCTAAGCTGGACAAAGTAAAGTCAACACGTGCATAACAGCAGGGCTTTGCGGTTTCAGATTCGCCGGAAGTGCGACTCGAGATGGGTCCACAACCGCTCATAACCGCTCCAGAGGATTCGGTGAGCGTCTTGGACCTGAAATGCCTAGCGGACGCTAATCCAGTCCCAAGCATCAAGTGGTTCAAAGACTCGGTGCCGCTCGACCGTTTGTTAATCGACGCCACGTCTTCGTCGTCACTGCCATCGCTAACGCAAGACAAAACAACAGGGCTGAACGACACCATGTGGAGTGCCAATTTGCACTTTGAACCGATCACGAGAAATGACGCCGGCCTGTACTCGTGCAAAGCGACAAACAACGTCGGTGAAAGCGTTCTTGCAAGTTACAGGCTCGATGTACAATGTTCGTAGAATTACATTATGTACCTCTCGCTCCGATATACTTTACCATTTTCCTTTCTCTGCTACCTTTCCCCTTCGTAACTATTTAAAAGCAATCTACGCATCGCTTAATATCTTTCCTCGGAATGACAAGGTTGTTCTCTTCCTTTATAGAATTGCGTCACGTATAAAATTTTTTATGCACAATAAAATTATATATCGCGCTACTGTGAAAGTTATATAATTCGTAAATACTCTTTTCTCCTGCGTAAAAGAACGAAAGAGAGATTTGAAGTATTTACAAGTTCTATTTATTTATTTAACGTAAGAACGTTTATTTCATTTGACTGACAGATGCATATTTATTGTATTTCTTAGATGAACCGAGGGAGAAGAGGAAAGAGGGAAACATCACGTCCATGAACATGGAAGAAATGGCGCTGTTAGGTACCGCCGTGGCCCCCTTTGAGTGCTCCGAGTTCGAAGCTAATCCATCCCCTCAATACAGGTGGGTGCATCTTCGCGGTAGCTTGGCGGAGACGATCGAGAATCGCGTGCAAAACAAGGGCGGTGGTCGACGCCTCCACCTTGAGAACATCATGTGGTCCGACGAGGGGGAATACCGTTGCATCGCCTTCAACACAATCAACGGTGTCAAACGAGAGACCTCCAGTAGCATACAATACGTGCTGCACGTGACGGGACCACCAGAGATCCAGGTCAAACCATTGCTAGGCGACAAGAACCTCTTCGAGTCTATCGGATGGGCAGGGGAACCCGTGCACAGGCTCAAGTCTCGATTCTGCTCGCGACCGCCACCGAAACTGGTCGCTTGGCAGTGGGGCAGTTCTCACATTCGAGCCGGTATAGAAAAACGTCTTTTTGATTATTGAACCACAGTTCAGAACAGTCTCAATTCAATTCTCATTCGTCACTTGAATAAAAGTTTCTTCGATTTCGGAAAGCAGTCGACTATTCTTGGAAATCCAAACTGAATCAATATTAATAATTATAGAAATCATCAAGTTTTCTATTTATACTTTCAGAAAATAGAATTCCGATAATAACCAGACCAGACAAATTTGAATTATGCAATTCCAGCTATGCACGAAAATACAATTTTGATGATCAAATCAAATAAATAATAAATAATGTTTGTGATTAATCCGTTTTTAATTAAGTCTCAATTTTCAACAGGAGAGAATATTCTACCAAAGTACGAGGCTCTACCGTTGGAACCTATTGTCGAGAACAAAGTGGTGACTAACTGTTATTGGGCCAAGCTGGAAATCAAAGACTTACGAAAGGAGGACGCTCGAATGTACACTTTGTTAGTGGAGAGCGAGAAAGGTCGGGATTCGACGAACATTAAATTGATAGTGAGAGACCCCACGGAGATGCGCGTGATAGCCGCGGCCGTGGCGGTCGGCCTGTTATTCCTGTTGCTGCTGATCTCCATCAGCGTGTACTCGCTCCTGAGGATGCGACGCGGACGATACCAAAGGAAAGTGGAGGAGGAGGGTAGTATCGCGGCAGATGCACTTTATAGTAACGGTGCTTCGATGGATCAACAAAAATCCATCAATTCGTCTCACGCAAAGACCTTCGCGAGAAAGTCCAGCTTAGACAGCGGCCAGGACGTGTATGACTACAGTCGCATCGTAAAGCAGACGCGTGCCATGAGTCCGGAAGCGTTGAAGGTCAGAAGAGCGCCAGCAGTCTTGCAACCGCCCACTATCGTGTAAAATATACGGATCTCCATCTCTTTCATTGATACAGAATCCCTTCTTCTCATCATCGAATCCTATTCCCTTCAGCAACAAAATCTACCTTTTGCTGTACATTCACATATCCCTTCCATCATCAATCTCCTATCAATTTACTTCCTTCTTAGAACATTTTCCTTAGATATTTTTATTATTTACTGTAGAATATATGTATGTAAAAAATCAGAGATACTTTTTAATTTTAATGACGTGATACACAATGTGTATATTTGTATCGAATGTTATAGTCTGATATTTATATCGAGAGCACAAATGTCCTCGCAAGATTATTGACTGTTATTGCGTATCTTTGTAATGTTAACCAATTAATTTTTTCTTAAATTTATTTATTATATCGTGTCGTGTATTTTGTTCATTGTATTTTACTACAATAAGTAAGACTACAATAACAATCTGCCCATTCAAAATGCAGGCACGTCGTGATAAATATTGTATGAAGAACTCGCGTACCGGTGCAAAGTATAGTCCGCGTCATCGGAGCGGAACGAAGCGTAACTTTAATAGCGGTCGCATCTCAGCGATTTTAATGGCGGTTGCGCGACGAGGCGGGATCAGTGCAAAACTGGACCTCACGGAAACTGTTATGTACAGTTCCCGATTTTGATATTTCGACCAACATGTACTTAATGTAGAAGAAATTCTATGCCTGAAACGAGCCTGTTGTTTCGAAAATAGTGCAAAACATTTTAACTTTACATATGTTCGAAATAAATGACTCAAGTAGAGAATAAGCATTTTTTGCGGCAATCATTATTCATTATACAAAAATAAATTAGACAAAACGTATTATTAAATAGTACTATATATATATACACATATATACATATATATATATATATGTATATATAAAATATAGAATATATAATAAAATAGTATTAGAAAAAAATAAAAAAGAAACAATCTTTTTACTTAATGTTGCTGCATATCGCCTTCTTGTTGATCCTGTTTCATAATAGCTACATGCATAGCTTTCAGAAATTTGGATAGTACAGTTTTGCTCGTGGATGTGTAAAGAGCATGTGCTAAAAATGGTATTTTTCTTAAAGTACGACCAGTCAAGCCTTCACTCTCACGGCTAAGTTCGAGCAGTTTCAAACTATTCTTAGAGTCTGCGTATTCTGTGTAACCAAGCATCTTTAACTGCGATATGTCGTATATCTCTTCATTTTCCAAGATTCCAGTCTGGAACATATATAAAATTTTATATATATATAGTAATATTAATTAAAGACTCTCCTTAATGCTTGACTAAACATTTTAATATCTCGTATAAAAAACTTGTTCGTAAATAAAATGTGCTAAAATATGTATTCTGTCACTACAGTTAGTATTTATATGTATATTATCGTATTCATATTGTATCTCGCAGGATTAAGAATACATACCCTCATTAATTCCTTTAGGCATGAATGATAAATATTGTAAATAGCGATTTCAGATGGATATCCAAGATACTGCTTTATATCCGCTCGATCGATAAACGCAAGATCTATAGCTTCTGTCATATTACTCGTTGTTAAAATTAAAACATTCCGATATCGTTTGATTTGATCCAACTGTGTGAGTAATGCGTTCACAACGCGTATAGAGTCAGATGGTTCAGTCCCGTTGCTGCATAATTTACGTGCGTGCGCTAACGACTCTACCTCATCAATCAGTATACATATCAGTGCCCTGTCATCTTGAACCAAATTCTTTATTTCATCAAATAACTTCATAACAAGTTTTCCACTCTGCAATAAAATGCAAATATCAATTTAGATATTAAATGGTGTAACATATGAATTTTGTTACTTCTCTGTGAATATTATTTGTAATATATAAACTGAAATTCTCTTGAATTTATTTCTATCCCAAATTTTAATTTCGAAATTTCATCATCTCTCTTCTAAAGCCAGATATATAATAATCAAATACATACCTCCGAAAACCATTTTGAGAATAAGCTATGGCTATTAATCTCTATAAATTTTCCATGAGTAAAGCGATCTCCCATGCGAATAACAGCTTTCTGAGCGAGAGCTTTGCACATACTGGTTTTGCCTGTACCTGGAGGACCATGCAACAATATCACTTTATTCCAGCTTATAATGTTTGAATCAACAGCGTGATCAGAAAATAACATTGTAGTCTCCACAAAACGTAATAACTAAAAAAAGGAAAATAAAATATTAAAGAATCGTGTGCGATACAAAATTGTATAAGATATAATACGAGTGTCTGCAATGATGCACACAAAAAATAATTGTATATTTATAAATTATCTGCTGAATTTACTAACATTATTCTTTATATCACAATCATAATACAGATTTTCCCACATGTAGTGAAATTCCTGTGCAGGTAACAACCAGTGAGACGCAACTGGCAATTCATCAGAATCACATTGCATTGTTTCTATGGCAGCATCCTCCTGTGTCAGTCTATAGATGTAATATTTAATGATAGCGCCTTGAATTTTAACCTTTCCCCTCTAAAATAAATATATACATATATATTTATAATGTAAATGCAAAATCCCTCCGTGATAAATTAATATTACAATTGATAATACCTCCATAAAGTTAGACGAGCATATCATAGATTCGACGTGATCTTTAATAACTGTATTCTTAGAATCTTTACCATATATAATGACATCGAGAGAAATCTCATCCAACAATTGTAATTCTTCATTTACTGCTTGTTGAATTATGGTTTTCGACAAAATACTAAAACAATAGAACAAATCACTTATTTCAGTTATTTACACATAGAGTAAAGTAGAGATTTCTACAGATATAAATCTCTTAAATTAATCTCAGATACAATTAAGTGCAGATTTAAGTGCTAATGAATTGTTTATAAATATTAAATTATGTCATTTCAATAAAATTATTTCAATAGCTTGTGTAAGAAATTCATTTAGTCTTTACTTTAAAGCACATTTAATTAAGTTTATGAGAATGTTATTTAATATTTATAAATTACATATCATTTTACAGAAAAGGATTGAATACTCCTTTTAATTTCTTTTAAGATTAACATAAATGATAGTAATAAGTTAGACAGATCTAACTAAAAATTAAATGACATTCATGATCCTCATGAATATCAATCGAATATCAACAATCTAAACAACCTGCTGGCATGCTGACACACTTCTACGTGTAACACGTTGTCCTCATCCATCCTTACAAATGTTTATATGAATCTGACAGTGTAGGACAATTCAGAAATTATGTGACACAAACAGACACAAGATCCAAAGCAGCCACTAATATTACATGTCACAAGGTTTCGATCACGTGCCTCTTTTTATCGGCATACAGTCTGCTTTCTCAGCCCTTTGTGTCGACTTTGCTTTGTCCGGGTCCGGCCACTGGCGAATTGTTTGGATTCAAAATTCGAAGTCGTTGGAGCCACGAAGTGAAGAAACCTAGAAGCCGACAAAACAGAAATGTCCAGCAGATTCAAGTGTAATAATCCAGAGTGCATTCTAGAGTGCGCAATCATCGCGATACCTTATCTGTTGTCGGTAATTCCGGGAGTTTTAAATTAGAAATACAATAAAAAAACACAGGCAATAGGAATGGAATAAGAGATCTATCAGAAGCTTGGCGACGCCATTCAAGGTGAAGGGAATGTGATCAGTGAATAGATCTTTTTAAACCCTACAACTTTTTTGTCCGAAACTTTTTTCACAAAAAAGAATTTAAATATTGTGATATAATAAAAGTGTAATAACATAAATAATAAAAACCTTTTACTACCAGAATTTTTTGAATGGCATAACGCCAACTTCAAATAACCGCGGCAATTAACATGGCGAATACTGGCTACCGCTCTTCTTTTATTCAAATATATTTATAAGGGATAAAGAATAGACCTTTTTATCAGAACACACGAAATACTTCGCTCGCGCTGTCTTGAAAGATATCGAATGCGTTCAGCGGACTCAACAGTTGAGTTAGCGCTTACTGCTATTGGTGTATTCTTCTAGATCCAAAATTCCGATTGGATGACCCAAAAAAATAACAACGAACTATAACACTCGCTCGACTATTGAGTCCATTGAATGCACTCATCGAAAAATTTCTCGAAATCTCATTCTTTCACCACTCGCGTTCACTGCAGTCTATACCTATACACGTGTATACCGGCTACACAACACGTGAAACCTGCAGTGTATGCTATCAGAGTATAAAGCAAATAAAGTAAATAATTTATATTAGTATATTTAATACAGATCAGTTATATTAGATTAGTTAAACTAATATAAAATTACAAAAGATAGCTACAAACGATTTAATTCGTAAAACATCTTCAAAATCATTAGGAACCGAATCGTCATCTACTTGGAGCTTGTCAACGAGAAAAATTCTCTGTGTGTGTGTATGTGTGTGAAAATTCCCGATCGTTATTCAAAAGGACTACAACGAAATAAGAATGGAACTTCAGCAACTTAAAAATTTCTTTCCATTTATTATCAATTGGTTGCTTAAGCAGATGCGTAAGCTGATATGCTTCACTCAGGTCAAGCACGTGGTCAACCCAGCTTACCCAGCGATCCAACAGGATGAACGGAATTTACGGAATGCCAATGAGCGTTTCCAACCGGAAAGAGTTCGTAGACCATTTCGTCGTCACGGCGAATGAGGATATAGCGAAGACGAGAATCTCCAGGAAGACTAGATCCTACTAATTATATACAAACCGAATGAGACAATGCCACAGCGCGGCTCTAAGCTGGATCACCGCGGTGCTTCTAAATAATGTTATATGTGAGTGTATATACTACGAATTTATATACTACGAATGTAATTCTTCGATTACGCGCTGAAATTTTGTCAGACTTGTAACGTAACATTAATAAACTATCGCGGTAATATCACGAATTAAATTGACTAACGATTTAACAATTATTGATGCTGTTTACGCATTTTATATCGATCTTATTGATGTTGAATAGCTTACTAAAAACTGTAAATAATTAATTTTTCACTGCGAAAAATATTACCTCGGCTGGAAGTCGAACCCGGATTTCTGGCATTCCATAGACGAGTGTCCTATTAGACTATTTAATTGCCACGATAGTTGAAGTTTTTTCTAAAGATTTGTTTTTAAAAAATGTTTCTATGATTTTTTGTTCTTGAGTTATTCACAAGTAAAGAAACATTTTGACTTTAATTGCTCGTAACTTCGTGAAAAATTATATATAGTACTGCAATTAAAAAATAAAATTCTTAAAGCTGAAACTTTGCTCTATCGAATGGTATAATCACTAATTTCTTAAACGTACAATTTTGTGCTAATAAAATACCGCAGAAATCTTCCTCCAACCCAATAGTAGTTCCAATATATCATTTGAGAAAAAAAACACGTTATTCTTTTTGAACGTATATTAAACAATAAACTTTATCCGAATATTCTTTTATTTTTAAATAATAAATGGAATACTCATTTTCGTTACTTATGTATCATGAACATATGTTTTGAAGAATAATCAAGGACTTTTCGAAATGTATATCAGCAGTAATCTTTAGATAACGTACATTCAAACACAATTATGTTTCTTGGTAATAAATTCTACAGATAAGAATATTGGTAATGTATATTATTTAATATTGACATTAATTGCCAAATAAGTTTAAGAGAAGATTAGAATGTTATTTGTAATAAAATGAACAAAAATTGAAAGCAAAATTTACAAATTATAATATTTCAAGGAAAGAAATAAATGGACATTTAGATATTATTTACCCCTATTTAAAAATGTAGAAAATTAATTTATACATCCCAAAAAAATATTCTGCCATTTAGCAGTTCTATGTTTATGTTAGACGATTTTTCATTTATGTATATCTCAAGAAGATACTCTACAAAATAAAGAATCATGTATCCTCATTTTTATAAATGAATACGTTTTATAAACACGCGCCTGATTCATGAAAGATTTTTTACTTAAGAGAAATGCTAAGAGAAATTCCCCGCTTATGATGAGAATGTTTTTTTATGTAATATAAAATTTATTAAAATTATAGGCATTTTATATATGTATCATTAAAAAGAGATACGAAAATTTCTAGTGCATCATGATTCCTTAGACTTTTAAAAATATGATTATTTTCTGGTCTAGTTTTTCTCAGAATCTTTTTCTCTACGAATTTTTTATCTTTTAAAATTAATTATGAAAAAAAATATTACAAAATAGTAATAACGTATACTTCAATTTTTATAAACAATTATTTATGTTATCTCTATTAAAAATATATTGCGTACGTTTTTTTATATTTATAAAATATAATTTCTATTATATTCAAACATAACATAACATTAAAATGAATATTATTTAAAATGAAAGAAATAATACAATGTCCTAAATGTAAAAATTGTTTTATTATCAATGTAAAATTACAAAAACGTTTCTTCTTTTAGACTATTATGACACGAAACATCTCAATAATACATTCAATAAAAAATATGTATATATATATATATGTATGTATGTATGTAATCTTTTAAGAGTAAGTTCAAGATGTAATAGCTATTCTATAGTATGAAAACAATGTTGTAAGATATAAAATATCGTGCGTATAAAAATTACGTAATGGATAAAAAAAGGAAAAGAATTCGTAATTTATCTATCATTTTTCGTTATATCAATCGTAGAGTCGTTATTAGATACTTATTCTTGAATATACTCATTCTTATGAATATTGAAGATACTCATTCTTCGTCGTCTGCTTCTAATTTAGACGATCAAACGCAACAAGCTTTTCCCCGTCAGCTTTCCCAACACCAGCCTGTCCCATGTTAACCTGTCCCAGGCGATCAGTTTGTCCCACGCTAGCAGAATTTGCATTAGCCTGTTCCACGCCAGTTTGTTCTGCGCCAGCAAATCCTGCATCAGCTTGTCTAACATCAACCTGTTCCATGCCATTTTGTCCCGTGCCAACCTGTCTCGTATTATTAGAAGAAACGGCCGATTGTCTAGTTTGCTCGATTTGGATCACCTTTCGATATGTTGGCTTCAACGGTATCGTGATTGTCATGATGCCATCGCTCGATGTCGAAGATGTTATATGATCAATGTCAGTGTTACGAGGTAATAGATACCGTAGCATGAACTGCTGGGATCCAACGTTGAACTTGTCCTGTTTTTTATGCCTGCCCTTGATGATCACCCAATTGTCCTCCACCTTAACGGTGATCTCCTCGGGCTTATATTGCTGTACGTTTATGTTAATTTTATAGCCGTCGTTGTCGATACTTGTAGAACTGACGACATGTTGGTAACGACTTAGATTCTTCCAGAAGGGAGAGTAAAAATCCAGAACTCCGCGACCGTAAAAATTGTTCGGAGAATAATGATCAAGGAAGCGAGAGGATAATCGCGATCGAACAAAGTTCATTTTACTGGGAGTTCCAGCGGAAAGACCCACCGGATTGATGGGAACATCCAATCCCAAATGGAGATTCGAGAGTAACAATGGCAAGAAATGCATGATATCGTAAGATTCTGTTCTTACTTACAAATCGATTCTTTTAGTTTGATGAGAATCGATGACTGAAGGTACAACTGGCTGATCTGTTTGCGTACGATGCGATGCTTCGTGTAATCGTATTTTGCAATGAGGAGTGTCGTCGCGATCGACCGTTATTTATATCAGACAGTTTTTGATCTGAGTGGGGAAGCATATTCTATAAACATTGTAAGACTTCAAAAACCTACTACGAATGGAAGCTGTATTTGTAGTTAAAATAAATCCTCCACCAGTTTGTTTAAGCCTTCCGCGCAATTAATATATACTCAGTTGTTCCGTTCTGGTATTTGTCGATAGCTATTCAAACTTCAGCAATTTAATTCAAATTTTACTTTAATTATTTTCTTACATATTTTGGAGAAGTCCAGATTATTTATATATTATATTTATATATTATATTTATATATTATATTATATTTATATATTATGACATAAAGAGGGGGAGATTAACATTTTATTAATCTATGAATTAGAAATTTTCTGTGTGCATTAAAAATATTCAAACTGGAAAAAAGGAAGGTTGATGTCTAAAAAAATATTATTTAAAGAATAAAATTATACCACATTAGTGGTATTTGAATAATTCACATTTAACGCGGTTAAGTAAATCAAGATGACATGGAATTTACTCACATTAGTCACATTTGGCGATTAAGCAACTCAAGACATGAAAAGTCAATATGATGAATAAATAAGTAAAATTATTACAGAAATTATACAAAACCATTCGTTTAGGAATATTAACTGAATTATAACACTTTTTATTTGTTATCATCACATAGAAAAATTAAAAAAACGTTTCGATAAGAAAACTCTATTGTCAAATACAATACATGTTTACGATTTATGGATGGAAATGGACCTCCATATCACAAGTCACTGACAGCACTCGTTCAGAAAAATTTTAGACATTGATCGTTGTCAATGGCTGTAATCAATTGCAACATGATTAAATCAGACACTTTCGCGAATTAGATGAAATCTTGAATGATATTTTTTAGTATTTGTTAACCATTCATTAATCTCTTACTACTATGTACTAAAAAAAGTATGTAATATAAAATATCAAGTTTCATCTACCAACTGTTATAATAATTTGAAATGTGATGTAAAAAAATCATCTCAGATGGTCGTTTTTACATAAAAAAAAGAAACTAAATGATTACTTCCAGATTAAAACAACACAATATCGTTACGTGTGTAATTTGTAATCTAGTGCCATATGTGCACTGACATATGTCAAGTGTGATGTGCTATCAAACATATAAAAGGTGCGTCTTCAGCAGAGTTGGCGAACAGTCTGCAAACAGATCGCAAGTTGCTTTATTTCTGATCGAACATTTATTAGTGAACAGTTTGCAAACGGTTAATAAGCAACTCGTGATTGGTTCACTGAAAAAAATATTCTGCTGTAAGAAATAAAACTAAGATCTTCCCGTCGGGCTGTGTGACTCCGCGGTGGCTCGCTAATATGAACTACGAGGTCTCGATGGTTCGAGTCCTGCCTGGCATCGTGTTCAAGCGTACATGCGAGAATTGGCGCGAGTCTCTTCCTTGGACTTCTGGTGGCGAGTCGCCACAAGAGGAAATGCTAAAAAAAATTTCTCGTTAATTGGCAGAATATTTTTTTAGGGTGTTGTAATTTTTTGATCAATTTCTATGTATTTGTGAATAGTTCTTAACGAATTCGATTATCGATTAATAATCAATTATTCAAATAATTAATCAATTATTTTTAGTCTTGAAGATCGACAGGAGTGACAAAATCTGCATCTTAATTGTGCTATGCTCTCTAAATCTGAATCAGTGGATAATCACTGATATCAATGCCAAGCATGTCACTATTCAATTCGTGGCATCACTAAAATCCATTCTTACAATTTTCTTCTTCAATTTCAAGAATAATTTGTAACAAATTAAGTTTAACTGGTACGTATCTGGTGTATGATTGTATAATATTACATTCAATTAGTCTTTAATTCGAAAACAAAATGTCTATTTATATCACATTAAATTAATATATAAATCAAGATTTTTTACAATAATTAAATCCTCATAATTGATTAATATTAAAAGTTGCACAATAAATTGCATCAGCACATCTTTCAAAATTAGTTATTTTAACTTTTTTATTTATAGCATCTTTGTTTTATTATTCACACTGCATTCGAAATAGAACTTCCAGAATAATCGAGAAATTCGTTTCTTAAATCCTTTAAGATGTCATGTAAGTTCGAGAATATTTTCATGAGTTGATTACAAACGAACGCGTATGAATGTAAACACAGTCGAGAATAAACTCGCAATTTCACGATCATTTGATACGTCCTTGCTCATAATCCTAAATAAAACAGCACATATCCCTTGTAATATTACTCTACTATGATATTAATTATCCTACTGAATTAAAATTGGAAAGTTTATATGAATTTAACTACCTAATGGGAAGAGAATGTTTTTTAAACGTTTTCTAAATGTTTAATGAACATTTATACGTTTTTAAACGTTTTAAAGCTGTTTAAAAAACATTCTTTCTCCATTGGGTACTTATGGATATCTATTATTGCGAATAACGGCTAGAATTAATTTTTTTGTATATCTGTTTTTTATTTTTGCGTTAGATAACACTGAATTATTCTTTCTCGTTTTCGCCAAATATCCTGGGCTGGTCATAAAAGTATTTGAAATAATTTTATTTAAAACACATTATTTGCGATACAAGTGTTAATATTTGAAATACAAGACACTTTTAATTTTTCGTTATTAATATAATAAAATATAAAATACTTTTATATGCTCTCCCATGAAATACAAAAATACAATTGTCTCACAAAATTAATGTTTTCCAAATGAAAGTATTTCGAATATATGTTCAGTCTTGCAAATCATATCAAATACATATCTATTTCACTTTGAATTTCAAAAGTGTAATACTAGTTCAGCCACAAAAAAATAGATCATTTGTAACGTCGAAATTCAAATTCAAAATGTTATTCACTTTTAATACTCCACTCCATTACGTATGTGACAATACACGCAGCTTTCCAGTAAAAAAAAAAAAAATCGCAGGCCATGCATGAGAAAACCCGCAAACGCGTAGTGTGATCACGAAATTGCTAGCTTATTCTTGAATGTTCTCGAACGCGTTTATGTACTTATGCGCGTTAACTTGTCTAATCGGCCTTTAAACGTTCTCGAAGCTACCAGACGTATGCCTCTGTCACGCGCATGCGTGCAGTCAAGTCGGCAGAGATATAAAACAATCGACGCGAGCCGGCTGTTGACAGAAAGCGATCGCAAGTTTGATCGATGCAAATCGTTACCAGAAAACGAATCAGCTTATTATCAATTAACTCTCAGCCGAGTTTCGAAATTTTCCGTGTCTGTTTGTCGAATCTTTTCTTGAGAAAGTCGGCATGGCTGTGCCGTCTCTGGTACCGCTGCTGTACTCTGACTGGTGGGAATACCTGGAATATCCACACCGGGTTTTCGATCAGAACTTCGGCCTCGGCGTTCATCCGGACCAACTGACACATCCCAACATCGTCGAGCGCTTCGCGCTGCAACAACCTGCTCGACATCAACGTCCGTTGCATCTGATGTCACACTATAATCGACCATGGGGTGAATTATTACGCAGCAAAGAAGATGGTGGCATATCGACCGTTAAGGCGGACAAGACCAAGTTCCAGGTGATGTTGGACGTGCAACAGTTCAAACCGGAGGAGATCAGTGTCAAGGTCGTGAACAAATTCGTCGTAGTCGAGGCCAAACACGAGGAAAAACAGGACGAACACGGCTGGATCTCACGTCAATTTGTACGTAAATACATGATACCTGAACAGTGCGATATCGATCAGGTGTCGTCGAGCTTATCGTCAGATGGCATGCTGAGCATCACCGCACCGAGGAAGGATAAGCCAAAGACGCAAAACGAGCGGCAGATCAAGATCCAGCATACCGGCAAGCCGGCGATCCAGGAGAAGGCACAGGAGAAGGCTCAGGAGAAGGCTCAGGAGAAAACTCTGGAGAAAACTCCGGAGAAAACTCAGGAGAAGAAGAAGTAAAAGTAGAACCAAAGATAAAAATTAATCGTATACATATATATGTACATGTTATATGCGTTTCTGTGAAACCTTGTTTTTCTATCTTACATTCTTATAATGATATTCGAGTTTTATTTAATATAATATATATTCGAGAATTATTTTTTTCTCTTCATATGATATAAATCAATGTGATAAACGTTAGAAGCATTCATGTTTGCATTTTTTTTTTTCATTTTTATTTTTGTAATAAAAATAATCAAATAAATTAATTTGATTGATCTTAATCATGATTTCTACGTTCCTTTTCTCTATCCTGCGTATTTCTAGGTGTGAATCTCATAATTTTAACATACGTTTAGTTAGTTTAAAAAGAATTATTAGATTGTGTGTGTGAGAGTTAATTATAGCAAGCGAGAGAAATGTAAATTAAATAGTAATTTTTGAATGCTAGAAGTTCGTTAAAGGTATTTGAATTAACGCGTTTGAATAGCACATCAATATATATTTTATTATATTTACCTTTATTATTTTTAAGAAAAACAACAATTTGCAGTAATTAAATTTGATTATATACGTTGTCTTCGCTTTGCATATTTAATTTCTTTCTCAATCTGTAGATCCTTTCGTTTAAGATTATATTGTTTGCATTAAAAATAAAAATATGAGTGATAAATCTAATAATAGTTTTGCTATTCAAACAATAACGAAGCATAGGAATAGTTATAAAAGTTATCGGTTGGAAAAGATTATAGGGACCTCTTTTGGAGAAACTGATAAATTACGGATTGCACGAAAAGTCGTATAATACTGCTATCTATATCTGGGTTAGAATCAATAAGCATTTTTTGGCACTGTTGATAAATATATACCTAAATTATCAACAGCAATATACACACATATACATGTTATTTAATTATAATAACATTATATATTTTATATAATATGTATACAAAACATGTATTATTAGATAGAATTATTAATTTAAAAAGATGTATTATATAACTATTTAAAATGAATTCTGATTAAAATTATTTTGTTTTCCATAGAAAATACACATATACATATAAAATGGAAATCTAGTATAGCGAATTCTGTTGGATACATTCATTGCGTACTGGTAAACATAAAATCGCCATATATAAAAATGTGAATTTAATATAAAAACGGATTAAACTAATAAATCCTCAATACATTTTATTTTACTATTAAGTAAAATCTGAATTTTATTTCAGAAAGAGTCGAAACTTGTCACGGCATATTATATTGAGCGATTTTCTTATATTATATTGACCGATATTTTATAATGTTACATATCAGGAGCGGCTAAGTGCTTTTATTCTATTTCAGTATTTCGATGTATATACATGTTTAAATTTATATTATATTCTTAATGCTACAATCGCTTTCTTGTTTACTTACGAATTGACTCTTATTGTCCTTCATCTTGTTTAATTATTATTTTTATATGAAGAGTCCTTTATTTTCATTTTTATTTATTTCAAAATATTTGCATTTTACTTTTACACAGATTAAATTAGTGTACAAGGTTTTAATATGTACTAATGCTTTCAATTCAATTCGCTATAGAAAATAAATTAACCATTTTTATCAGAATTCGTTCCAAACGATTCTATATGTACCTTACGGTGCTTGTATTTTATCTTCTGCATGTTGAGAAAATTATATAACTATAGGATAAATGACTGTTTTGTAATAAATAATAAATATATGTTTAAAAATAGAAGCCAAACTCTTAAGTTTACATAATACATATGTACGTTTTATATTTTCCATTTTATTTTATGACAATATCTTAACAAATAGGATTTAAAGAATGACGCACAAACGAATTATATTATTTCATATATTTGTTAAGTTGAAAATAAATCTGTACTAAGAAAAGGCAACTATGACATTTTGTATTCTCCGTTACTGGAGGCGTAACAAAAGGACGACAAGAAAACAAAGTTATTATTTCCACGTATTTATCTAAATTATATTTATCTTTTCGGAAAACTTATTATATCAATTAATTAATAACAATTAGAAATTATCTTAATTATTTTGAAACTCTTGTTTAAGTTTAAAATAATTTAATTACTATACGATAATTTGAAATAATAATCCGAATAAATCACGTACGCATTCGCGTGACGATTAGAATGTAATTGTTTTGGATAACTAATGATATAGTCAGAATAGAATCTGTAAATATATATATATATATGTATATATACAATCCCGAAATGCCGGTAAACCGCGTAAGATACGTAAGAAGAATCTCTACGTCGGCAGTTGCACGACAATCGGCAATCGGTCGAAAATAATAGGTGGAGGATGATAGGGTGGGTGGACACTTCTGCGGTTTCGAGTCGAGCGTGCAAGACGCAGAGAGACAGCCTGAGGTCAAAGAAAGGGGATGGATTGTGCTTATCATGCATCGTCGCCAAACCCCGCAAAACCTCTCTCTTCCTCAACTACCTCGACTCTTCGATCTTAACCTCCTTTTCCTCTTTTTCGCTCTTTCCTGCTTCCTCCTTCGACTTCCCTGTACCTACAGCTGACATTTGCGGAAAAAAAAAGAAAAAAGAAGCACGAGGACTCGTATATGTTACGAAATATGTGTGCTATGTTCGATCCAGTTTACTAATCTAACACAACAGAAGATGCAACGCGAGAAAGAGCATAAAAAAAAAACATTATTAAGAGAAAGAAACATCTAATAATTATAATATTCATATTTCGCGCTTTAGCGCATGTATTACTTTTCTTTTCCAATCTATGACGGGATTGGCGAAACGCCTTCTTTCCGTTTCAATTTTGGCCTTCTGAATAAAGATATAGAGGAATCTCTTATGGAATGATTACCGGCCATGCTTCTGAACATTACTTTTACAATGATGCTTCAAATGATGTCACGAAACCTTTAACGTAATCACTCTCTCAACCGATACCAAAGAGCTTCTGCAACACTTGTGATCGATTTTGTCATTGTTCACTGTGCCACAGATTGCAGTTACAAGTGATGATAATCTTTATATCTTTTTTTACATAATCTATATTTCCAACTAATTAACAAAAATCAGCTGTTTAACTTTTTCTTCCATTAATTATAAGCTATGATAAGATTATTTTAACATATATACAAGTATTCTACTTTTTTTCAATATCAAATTTTATTTTTCAGTGTAACATTTTTGTTTATAATTTTCTTTCTAATAATATTTAAATCATTCAACAAAAATGAGAGAGAGAGAGAGAACAATTCAATATGACATGCATTGATGTTGTAAATACAAAATGTAGAGGAAAGAAATTGTTATTCAATATAGATCAATAATTCTGAAGGATCTTCTTTTATATCTTCTTCTCTCATATTTCTTCAAATGTCTGACTGTTTTCCTTCACGGAGGAAATATGACGCATAAGTGCTTGCAGTAAATATCCGTTAGTCTCAAAGCCATGTGTGAGATGTCGATAGAATGCGATCGTCGCATGAAGGTAAGAGAATGCGCCAGGAAACAGACTGTACAAGGAGCACGTCGAGTGGTGCGGCACAATCCAGTATTCCCAATGCTGTTCCAAACCCGATGACCTGATTGCTGCGGTTCAAAAAAAAGTGCATTAGGAATTGCCTATGAGGACACCAATTACACGATAGCTCGCTAAAGTATCTGCACATTTTATATTTAATTATTTAAAAATGATTGTTATTAACACATATATAATATTAAATTCTTTAAAAGACAATGCAACGAAACAAAGTATTAATACGGAGACAAAGCATGGAATTTCGGAAAAATTAAATTAGCGAATAGAGTTTAAATATAAATTTTAAAAAATTATATTAAACCTTTTATTTATATATACATAAAAAATAAAAAATCTTAAATTTGAAATAAAATTAAGGGTAATTGTATCTTCATAATTTCAAGACGATCTAAATATATATTCAGATGCAAAAATGCTAATTAAAGAACTTTGTTCACGAGAGTACTTAATTAAGACCATTATATATAAAAATGTGAAAATTATGAGGTTGTGGGTATCATTTAATCACATCGAGATACGGATAAAAATTACATCTTCAATCGCAGTGCAATTAATTACAGTGTCGTTAATGAGATCAACTTGATTTCTTTCAGGCCATGCGAAGCGGAAAAGCTTCGAGATAGGAATGACTGAATCAACATAAATTTCAAAATTAATGAGTTTTATTTAAAAAAAATGAAAAAGAATTGAATGCAATATTTCTTTTAATTGTTAAAACTTTCTTATTATGTTTTAAATAATACGTCTTCTTCAGCGAGCTTTGTCTCCCTTTTGTTTTCTGCTTTCTATATGCTGTCTTCTACTGTATTTTACACTCGCACATGCATACGTACGCGCACAGTCACAAAATTGCATCTACACACACGTACACATCGACTTGTGTGTATACTCTTTCGATAAGTGGCCACTCGACACCGTACGAGGGAGACGAACACGTACTTTTCTATTCGTGGCACAATTTTCGGAGATCGATATATCGAGCACGACCTCAAATTGCGTGGTAGTTAGTGCTTGTCAGGGACTTTCGAAGAGAGTCTAATGAGAAACAACGAAGAAAGACATGAGGGATGCACTGTCTTCCTTCAAATATCATCGCTCTACCTCTAATATTTCTTTCAAATTTATTAACATTTTCAGTATTAAGTATATCTTTTGATACAGTTTATTACATAATACAATTTATAAATCTGTTTTCGTAGGACACCTATTTCATAGATTTTTCTTTAATCAATTAAAAAATTTTTTCTTGACGAAAATATTAAGAAAGATATTTCGTTGAACACTAAAAATTGAGCGGTAAATACTGATCGCTTATATATATTTTTAACGCTTTTATATTTTAGATTAATATTACATTTTTTGTATAAAAGTACGGATTCCAAAGATTTTTTACTTTTTTATAAATATGTTCTTTATATTGGATTTTTCATTATTTTCATAGTAATTTATACACTTTGTCTTTTTAGTGAGTAAGAAACATTAATATTTCTAGTATTAAGTACACTTATCTAATATATTTTACTTTAATTTCAGA